GCCTGTGTTTTTTTAAGATATTTGAAAAGAGCAATCAATTTTCTGTACGACAACATGAAATATGCATACGGTTGATATACAATGCGATCAAAAATGAGTTGCTGTCGAGTTGACTTTGGAATTTTTGTATACATGGGAAATCGTACCTAACTTGAACTTCCAAAGGCGACTCGACAGCAACTCATTTTTGATCGCCCGTTACTAAAAAATGGAGACATTCGTGATTTTAGAAAATGTATGACATCTAGCATGCCGTGTGCCATATCATACAGAAAAGACCTACACCTACAATAACTTGTTTTTAAGATCGACTTTTGCACGATACGATCTCCCCGTGTAATGCAACGGGAACCGTGCATCCTGATAACACACGGCATGCTAGATTTCATACATTTTTCAAATATTGAATATCGAATTTGTCTATTTTTTTGTATATCAACCATATGCATATTACATGTTGTCGCACAGCAAATTGACTGCCCCTTTCGAATATCGTAAAAAATATAGGAATTGCTTTGAAAACCAAAATTGCATCGATTTACGGTTAAACCGGAAGTGATACCGGCCGTTTGAATAAGCGTTCAAATAGATATGAAATTATATTGAACAAATTTTTCGTATTTCGTCAAATGAAAGATATTGGGGTGACCCTCTTATCTCGAACGCACTGTATATCTCCCATCAAACCATACTTGTATTTCAACAACTTTTTCCCTTGTTACATTGTATATGTTTGTATGTAATATCGAGAACCACAATTTTCCGTTTCTGGATAAAACTTTCTAGAAGAGGGTATCTTCATTGATAATAAGGTTATTGGTTGTTGCGAAACTAAACGATAAAAACAAACGCATAATAATCCTGATCTGGGCTATTTTCACCTTAGATCATTGTTTGTATGATCTAAGATTTTCACAAATGAATTGACGTACTCCATTTTGAATATCAAAAGTGTATTGCGGAATGTGCAGCGACTAGTGCATTGTTTTCCAATTTCGAAAGTTGCCAAAATATAAAACCAAAACTCCACTTAACTCCAATTAAAATTAAAAGTATTTAAAAATATTTACTTGTATCTCTATCAAAGCAAAGGTCCAATGTCTAAGATAAGCGCATAAATTAGGCAACTGTCTGCTAAAGACGGCATTCTCATATTTTCCAAGTTGTGCTATCCAATATTCCAAAATGAAGTGTTTCCTTTTAGTGTCTTTGCTTACATGTTTTACTTTTGCTGCTGAGAAAATTGAAAGTAAGTTGTCGTGGTAATGTGTCCAGATATTTACGTACGTATTAATTCACTGATGATCTCATATCTGAAAACTTCACAAGGATTATAACCCAGAAGGACTGATCTTAGTAGTTATCTGGCATAGCCACAAGCGAATTAACTTTCACGATATGGTTAGTTTCCCTTTATCGTCGTGTATAATACAAAACTTTATTTTATAGTAGAAGCCATATAAATCATTGCAAAGCTCCTGACAATTCTGAATTTAATTTAGACCTCAAAAATAGCAAGCTTAGGTTCTGCCGTCGCGGTCGTTTCCATAGAAACAGCATTGTCATATGTTCTGAACATTATTTTATATCATGCTTCGCGTCCCATTTTAAATAAGAATGTCATTAGAATGGATAATCACCTGTTTGTTTATCTACCCTTGCGAGTGATCACTTTATCTACCCTTACGGTTAAAGAGCGACATTGAAACCTATTAAAATGTCAATTTAACATCTGCTATTCTCAGCGTCCGAATGCTTGGTTTGAAGCGTTCTATGTTGGATAATTAAAGTGATAAGTCTTTGAAAGCTTTTGACACGCCCCAAATTGCCACCTGCTAATATTGGAAGGCAGAGTTTTATTTTTAGCTTGTTGTTTATAATAGCCTTTTCATATAAGTAGTGAGTGTAAGCAACAGAATATATTTTTATGGCATTCTGTCTTGTTTTTCATTTATCATCTTTTCTGAAGCAAATGACTGGCTATGGTAATTGGATTTACCAATTTCATAGAACCTAAATTGTAACAATTTTTAATGTAATTTGTCACTACTAGTGACTAATTTCCTACCTCAAAGACTCCTCGAATGAAAGATAAATACGGAAATTGGGAGTA